ACAGACACACTAACACAGACTGACACACCCAGACACACACTCACAGACACACTAACACAGAGTGACACTCACAGACAAGTGTGACACTCAGGCGTCACTTACTGATCTGTGTTGCTGTCAATCTTATCTTCTCAGATCTTCCATGATGTGGCATACAAGGCGAAAGACCGTAGTGACCTGCTGGCGGGTATCGATGAGTTTCTGGACCAGGTGACAGTTCTGCCCCCGGGAGAGTGGGACCCCTCCATCCGCATTGAGCCCCCCAAGAATGTCCCCTCACAGGTACTCACCCGGAACCACTGAAGGGAGCGTATTGTTGTACAGTCTGCTGCTGGATGGGGGTGTGATGTACTGTGTGTTGCTTTGTTTTATATCTACTTTAGCAATGCTGGTAATACAGTATATAGTCCTGCCAGGTAAGCACCTTTGAAGTGCATCAGTGCTCCAGTGCTGGAGAAGTCTAGTGTTTCAGTGCTCCAGTGCTGGAGGAGTCCAGTGCTCCAGTGCAGGAGGAGTCTAGTGTTTCAGTGCTCCAGTGCTGGAGGAGTCCAGTGCTCCAGTGCAGGAGGAGTCTAGTGTTTCTGTGCTCCAGTGCTGGAGGAGTCCTCTGTTCGTGCCGGAGGAGTTCTGTGCTCCAGTGCTCCAGTGCTGGAGTAGTCTAGTGCTCCAGTGTTCCAGTGCCAGAGGAGTCCAGTGCTCCAGTGCTCCAGTGCAGGAAGAGTCCAGTGCTCCAGTGCTGGAGGAGTCCAGTGCTCCAGTGCTCCAGTGCAGGAGGAGTCCAGTGCTCCAGTGCTGAAGGGAGTCCCGTGCTCCAGTGCTGGAGGAGTCCAGTGCTCCAGTGCTGGAGGAGTCCAGTGCTACAGTGCTGGAGGAGTCCAGTGCTACAGTGCTGGAGGAGTCCAGTGCTACAGTGCTGAAGGAGTCCAGTGCTCCAGTGCTGAAGGAGTCCTGTGCTCCAGTGCTGAAGGAGTCCAGTGCTCCAGTGCAGGAGGAGTCCAGTGCTCCAGTGCTCCAGTGCTCCAGTGCAGGAGGAGTCCAGTGCTTCAATGCTGAAGGAGTCCCTTGCTCCAGTGCTGAAGGAGTCCCGTGCTCCAGTGCTGAAGGAGTCCTGTGCTCCAGTGCTGAAGGAGTCCAATTCTACCTAGCCTCACTTGACCTCAGCCCTTTCCCTGCAGGAGAAGAGGAAGATGCCAGGGATGCCAAATGGAATGGCGTGCCAGGTGGAAGTGGAGCCCCACGGAGAGCACCATGGCCCTGAGCTGCAGAAGACTGGAAGGTGAGCTCGCCCAAGCAAACCCCCGTCACCCTCATTTACTCTCATCTTTCTCTGTTCACCTCTCTGTATTTCTGTCTCTTTCACCCTCCCTTTCTGCATTATCCTGTCTTTTTCTATGCCTTCCAACTCTTCCTCCCCTCGTCCAAACTCCTATCCCCCTGTTGAGTTGGCTCATCCTGCTCTTGTGAAGCTGCAGGCCTCAGACTTCAGGATGGCTTTTTTTGGTAAATTGGCATCTCTGCCAGTGCCAGACCTGACAGACATGAATGAACGATCTAATAAAACCAAATGACTGTTGGATTGATGAAGCCATGCTGGACTGTGAAAAGGAAGATAGCAGGGCAGGTTTGTGATACACAGAGTCAATTAACCAATTAACAATCAATTACAGTATGTGCCAATTAGCCCATAGATAGGTTTTCGATAGGTATTTAGTCAATTCAGTGGCTAAGGTTTAATTGATTGATTGAGCATCAATTAAATAAGTAATCAGGGGTAAACTGGGTGAATTTACCCAGAATAGAATGCCATGCGAGAGGCACGGTGTTGTC